CAAATAAATGCAGCCTTGGTGAGCAGAAGAGTCTTCTTTCAAAAATGTAATGATTCCATGTATTCCGTTCAGTGGAACGTGCCATTTGACAAAGTGAATTACTGCCACCTAGTGCTGATTTCTCTAGAACCAGACATGTGGTTTTAAACCATCCACTGATTTTTCAGTACAAAAAAACAAATCATGTCAGATATTTACTGTAAATATGAACTAATCTAGTCCACTTATGTTAAGAACAATTGACAGTACAGGATGGTTTAAACCCATTTGAGCTGCTTTATTAAAGGCAGTCTGTGTGTTTGTGTGTGTAGCTGCAGCTGCTGTGTTTGGCGGCTCAGAACGGTGACGTGGACGGCGTTCGGTTCTTGCTGCAGGAAGCACGAGTTACGGTTCCACAGGATCCCAGCAAAGAAAACCCTGCCGTCCTAGCAGCACATCACGGACATCATGTGCTGGTCCGAGAGCTGCTGGACTCCATACCACGTGAGCGGAAACCAAATCCACTTTCTTAAAGTCAACTAAAGCAATAAGCCCCGTGAAGCCGTGGTTTACAGTGAATTTATAACAGCTAAGGGGCGTTGTTAGGCATGTTATAAATTCACTGTAACCCATGGCTTCACAGTGTTTATTGCTTTTATAAAACGGTTATTCCATATACGTAGTAAGGTTTCACAAAATAAAACAGAGCAAATAAAGTGTAATGATATTAATAAAAACAGTATTCTTCCACCAAACAATGTAGTTCCTCAGAAACGGTTGTGGTTCCAACAAAGTGGTTGCCAAGCAACACACAGAAGTAAACAAAGGTGTATGTTTGTGGAGTAATTTACAACAGCTTCGAACACGGCTCAACCAATCAGAATCAAGCACCGGAACTATCCGTTTTATAAATGAAATCAAAGTTCAACCTATTTACTTTATTAACAGTATAGTTCACCCAAAAATAAAAATTTGCTACAAATGTACTCACTTCAGGCCACCCAAGATGTAGAAGAGCTGTTTCTTCATCAGAACAGATTTGGAGAAATGTAGCATTACCTCACTTGCTCACCAATGTGAATGGGTGCCGTCAGAATGAGAGTCCAAACATCTGATAAAAACATCACAATAATCCACAAGTAACTCCAGTCCATCAGTAAACATCTTGTGAAGCGAAAAGCTGCGTGTAAGAAACAAATCCACAATTATGGCGTTTATAACTTTAAACCACCACTACAGAGTCCAAAATCCAAAATAATGTTTCCTCCAGTAAAAAAGCCCATTCCCTGTCCACGCTGCATTTATAACCGCATGAGAGGAGAATATATGAGCTGTAAGTTTCCCGCTGACATTTAACATCACAACTGACAATATATGGAATACTTGGAGTCAGATACGCAAATTATTATATTTTGACGTCACTAAAGGGAAAGTCATATAAACGCAGCTTTCTTGTGTTGTCAGGTTACTGATTTGCATGAAAACGGGGAAAACTGGTTATTTTAATAAGCTGATATTCGTGCGTTGTCAGCTTGCTTGTGTACATGTAAACATGCTCGGTGTTTGATCCGTGTATATACAGTGGGTACGGAAAGTATTCAGACCCCCTTAAATTTTTCACTCTTTGTTATATTGCAGCCATTTGCTAAAATCATTTAAGTTAATTTTTTTTCCTCATTAATGTACACACAGCACCCCATATTGACAGAAAAACACAGAATTGTTGACATTTTTGCAGATTTATTAAAAAAGAAAAACTGAAATATCACATGGTCCTAAGTATTCAGACCCTTTGCTGTGACACTCAAATATTTAACTCAGGTGCTGTCCATTTCTTCTGAGCATCCTTGAGATGGTTCTACACCTTAATTTGAGTCCAGCTGTGTTTGATTATACTGACTGGACTTGATTAGGAAAGCCACACACCTATCTATATAAGACCTTACAGCTCACAGTGCAAGTCTGAGCAAATGAGAATCATGAGGTCAAAGGAACTACCTGAAGAGCTCAGAGACAGAATTGTGGCAAGACACAGATCTGGCCAAGGTTACAAAAAAAATTCTGCTGCACTTAAGGTTCCTAAGAGCACAGTGGCCTCCATAATCCTTAAATGGAAGACGTTTGGGACGACCAGAACCCGTTTATTGCTTTTATAAAACGGTTATTCCATATACGTAGTAAGGTTTCACAAAATAAAACAGAGCAAATAAAGTGTAATGATATTAATAAAAAACAGTATTCTTCCACCAAACAATGTAGTTCCTCAGAAACGGTTGTGGTTCCAACAAAGTGGTTGCCAAGCAACACACAGAAGTAAACAAAGGTGTATGTTTGTGGAGTAATTTACAACAGCTTCGAACACGGCTCAACCAATCAGAATCAAGCACCGGAACTATCCGTTTTATAAATGAAATCAAAGTTCAACCTATTTACTTTATTAACAGTATAGTTCACCCAAAAATAAAAATTTGCTACAAATGTACTCACTTCAGGCCACCCAAGATGTAGAAGAGCTGTTTCTTCATCAGAACAGATTTGGAGAAATGTAGCATTACCTCACTTGCTCACCAATGTGAATGGGTGCCGTCAGAATGAGAGTCCAAACATCTGATAAAAACATCACAATAATCCACAAGTAACTCCAGTCCATCAGTAAACATCTTGTGAAGCGAAAAGCTGCGTGTAAGAAACAAATCCACAATTATGGCGTTTATAACTTTAAACCACCACTACAGAGTCCAAAATCCAAAATAATGTTTCCTCCAGTAAAAAAGCCCATTCCCTGTCCACGCTGCATTTATAACCGCATGAGAGGAGAATATATGAGCTGTAAGTTTCCTGCTGACATTTAACATCACAACTGACAATATATGGAATACTTGGAGTCAGATACGCAAATTATTATATTTTGACGTCACTAAAGGGAAAGTCATATAAACGCAGCTTTCTTGTGTTGTCAGGTTACTGATTTGCATGAAAACGGGGAAAACTGGTTATTTTAATAAGCTGATATTCGTGCGTTGTCAGCTTGCTTGTGTACATGTAAACATGCTCGGTGTTTGATCATATAAACGCAGCTTTCTTGTGTTGTCAGGTTACTGATTTGCATGAAAACGGGGAAAACTGGTTATTTTAATAAGCTGATATTCGTGCGTTATCAGCTTGCTTGTGTACATGTAAACATGCTCGGTGTTTGATCCGTGAAAAATTTAAGGGGGTCTGAATACTTTCCGTACCCACTGTATCTCTCCTGGTTCAGATGAGACGACTTTTTCACTGGAGAAAGCAATGTTATGGTTAGAGGACTCATATTTTAGCTGAAAGCAACGGTTTTAAGTTAAAACGCCTTAATGATGGATCTGTTTCTTACAAACACACAGCTTTTCTCTTCACAAGACATTAACTGCTGGACTGGAGTGGTGTGGGTTACTTGTGGATTATTGTGATGTTTTTATCAGCTGTTTGAACTCTCATTCTGACGGCACCCATTCACTGCAGAGCATCCATTGGTGATTTCTCCAAATCTGTTCTGATGAAGAAACAAACTCATCTACAGTACATCTTGTATGGCCTGAGGGTGAGTAAAAGACAGATTGTTGTTGTTTTTTTGGGGCAAACTATCTCTTTAAAGAAGTTTGACTGTAAATGAGATTTGAGAGTTTCATCAAAATAGTAAAATCTGAGAACAGCTCGGATTGAGTTTTTGGAATCCAATGAAGTGAATGCTTTCTTTGCCTGAGCGTGAGTACATGTTCTAATCTACAAAGTACAATAATGGATATTCCTTGTCTTACTGCACAGGATTCATCAGTGCATGTTATTCCAAAGAACAACAGATGCTTGTTTATTGTGTATATAATAATTTTAGCTCCACTTCTGAAACGACTCTCTTTTTCTGTAGGTCCGTGTGTCCGTAAGGATCTGCTGAACTGGATGTTGTCTACGGCGTGTCAGCAGGGTCATCTGGAGGTGGTGAAGCTGCTGGTTCACACGTACAATGCTGACGCCGAGGACTGCGCGGTTCATTCAGGAGAGTTTGCCATCATCACTGGCTTGCCCCTGTACGCCGCCGCGCAGGCAGGTACTCGTCATTCACTGCTCATTATTACTGCAAATAATATCTGTTCAACTATAGGACAATATTGCATGACGTTTGGGAAGGACTAAATATGAATTCACACTAGGAGCAAATATTGGCTTCTGGATCGATTCCTTATTTTATGCTTTTTTTTAATGTCACTTTTGGTGTGAACAACCAAGGGAACACTTTACTGTAAGGTTTCATTTGTTAGCGTTAGTTATCCATATAGGGCCCTGTGATTTCTGCAGTGGGGAAAATGTGAACGCCATTGTTTAGTTTAACTTAAAAAAAGATAAATAATTTACTATTTATAATAAAACAAATTATGTGCAGCTCTTTATTTGACCAAAAAAATTAAAATGCAATGTTCTGTTGTGAGGAACCGTTATAATTTAGTTAAGTTTTAAATACATGATTGAATTGATAACGTTTTATGAATTTACTTGATTAGACATTTGATTTTGATCATTACAAATTGATTTTATTTATTTGCATTATTTATTTAAAAAAAACTTTTAGAAGAACTTTTTGAAAAGAAAGAAGAAATTTTTTGTGTGTACAGAGAGAAATAATTTAATGTGTACAGAGAGAAATATATCTACAGCTTTTAATACAACATCTGCAACTTTTGTCTTAATGTTAATTTCAACATTAATACATTCTTAAAATCAAAAAGGATTAATGCACTAACAACAGTTAACATTTAATTAATGCACTAACATGAACTCAGTTAACAATTTATTTTTATTAACTGACATATTTTTATCATTTATTGTTACTTACAATTTATTTGTATTAACTGACAAAGATTAAAGTTGTAAACAAAGTACTGCTCATTGTTAGTTGATTTTAGCCAATGTTAAGAAATAACTCATGTAAAATCTTACCAAAATGTTAATAATGTTATTATTTAGATAAATGTGTCTGCCGAATGCATACATGTTCACGTAAACATAATTATCCAGTGGATCTGATGTTACTTTAAAATGGTTTAGCGCTGGGATTCACAAACGTTTCTGTCTGCCAGAATCATTTGACCTAAAATATTTACTTGAAATGACCCTGTTAATATTGCAGTAATTTAACAACATTTTTTGCATGTTTGCAGTTCTTCTATGTTGGTTAATGGTCACTTGACATGAAAGTTATCAATTATATTATATCTATATATTTATATTATATCGGTTTATATTCTGTTTTAACATTTTTATTATATATATGAATATTTTTATTATTTTAATGTATTTATAAATGTTTTATTTTAATGTTTTTTGTTCTATTTTATTATATGTTTCTATATTAATAGTTGATTATTAATATATTTTTAGTGTTTTATTTTGATATCATCTATTTTTATTTATTTAATATTTATTTATTAAATGTTGATTTATGTATTTATTTATGTGACGTTTATTTATTTATTTTCAACTCACAAACCCCAGTTTGAGAAACCTTGGTCTGGTTTGATTGAATTAGTTAAAAATGATGGATGTCATTTGCTTATGGTGCTGTACACCGATTAACGCTCAATGCTCTTTATTTAAATTTTTTTTTAATTTCTGGAACTGAATGCATTCGTCAAGCCTTTCTCATCCTGAACTGCACACTGGGTCTGAAAAGTGAAAGCAGGGGGATTTTTGACAGTGTTCAGGTTTCCCGCTTTGCTCCAGCACATGCATGCACTTCCTCCATGGCACTCAGTTCCTCTTTCAGCACAGAGGTGTGGAGAAATAAGTGAAAGCTCTTCCTGCTCTAACTGAAGCTGGTTTTCTCCTCTCAGGAAATAAGGAGATTGCATGTTTTCTGCTGAACAATGGAGCCGGTTTCTCCTCATACACGCTGATGGATCACACAGACTTCAGCAGGCAGATGCTCAGACAGCGCCACTTGCAGGACAAAGACGCGCCTGTGGACGGGACGCTGCTGCAGGTGAGACACATCCCGCTCAATTAATTTCAGATCAGCGCTGGACTCGTGAACAATGCTGCTGCTTCATTTTTACAGAAGTTTTAGCGTCAGCCCTAGTTCCTCTTTTTAAATGTATTCAGGACGAGACTTGATACCTATTCATAAACACTGACAAATAACATAGTAAATGGAGAATAGTGTATTTTAGGAGCTGGTTTGGAGTTCCTGTGGTGTGCATAATTGGTTTTTAAAACTTAAAAACATTAATAAAAGCAGTTACGTTGAACTAAATTCACTCAATTACATTCTGAGCTTATAAACACCAGCATATGTAAAAAAAAAAAAAAAAGATACAAGAAGTGTGTTTAAATGAAGTGAAGCCACAGGACACTTCACATCCTCCTGGACAGTTCCTCCTTACGAGTTTGGAATTTTTGCACTGACTCTTTTCATTTCTTTACAGACACAAAGATTTTTAGCACTAGTACAACAGTATTTTATTTTTGTGCATAGTTATTAACTTCTTTTATTTTGTTTTCTTTTTGTTTTCTTTTGTTGGATCCCATTCAGACTTTTAAATAAGAATAAGAATAAGAAAAAAATTATTTGCCCATAAACCCATGATAATTTCATATGGATGTATAACACAATGAAAATTATATATTATATTATATTATATTATTGTACTAGTATGTATGTATGTATATTCATTTGTTTTTCTGTATTTTTTTGTTTTCTTTTATGATATGATATGAGATATGGTATGATATGATATGATATGATATGATATTATACTTTTCACTTAACACTTAAGGACTTGTTTTATAAGATGGACCCAGAAAAACTTTTACAAGTACATTTAAATAATCTTTTATAGAATTTTATGTACAAAACTTTGTTTTATAATTGCTTTATTTCATTTTTGTATTGTGTACTACTGTATTGTTTCTAATGTATAATCTTTGTTTGCCATGAAATAGCCTGTGAAGCTGATGTGGCAATAAACTCAATCATATTATATACTTTTAAATAATAATAATAATAAGGTTTTAGGTACGGAAATTATTATTCTGAATTGCCCAATTATGTGTAGATGTATGATACAATGAATTAATTTATGTATGTATATGTTATTCTGTGTTTTGTTAATTTTTTATTAATTATATAGTATAGTATTCTGTACAAGTAAGTATGTGTGTGTTATTCTGTATTTTTTTATGTGTCATGTCATGATTATGAAGGTGTCATGTCAGTCTTATGCACACCCCTTCAAGTAAAGTGTTACCTATTCTTCTTTATTATTGATAAACTGCACAGTCTAGTGTTTAAACATTTTGTGTCCTTTTCACAGTAGTAATATATTATGACCAATATTAACGTGTTTCTTCAGTCGAGGATTGTGTAATCATCACATCTTTACTTCCTCGTCCTCAGGCTGTGCACGTTGACTGGTCGGGACTGCAGCTGCCCTGGTTGGATCTGGACTGGTTCATGGACGTGTCGTCTCGGATCACGGTTCTGGATCTGTCTCGTAACTGTCTGAGCTCGCTGCCGTCTGTGGTGCCCTGGGGTCTGATTCATCTGCGCTCGCTCAACCTGTGCCACAATCAGCTGCGAGAGCTGCCCACCCCGACCTCATCGCAGGAGATCATCTGCAGCCGGTCCGGAACTCTACTTCACGTTTATTTGCACAGCGCTTTTCACTAGAACTAGCATTTCAAAGCATTAACATCTATACATGCAAGCAGAAACAATAATGTTGTAAAGCTTCTGCACATAATTCAGACATGGAGAATCCACAATATCAAGAATATCAGTCAGTCAAGTCAGCCATTCATGATCCTCTTGCCTGAAATATTTTCAGCTAGACCAAATTACTTTTTTGAGTGCAATCTTTATTATATGACTAACAAAAATCATTATCCAATAATAACAATTTGGAAAATGTTTTCTTTAAGTATCAACTTTGTCTCAGATGTTTCTCCTAAACGTTCTGAAAAAATATTTTTTTCAGTACATGTTAAATTTGGTATTATTTATATACTATTATATTATTTATTAATATTTAGATTTGACTATTTATATACCATTATATTATTTATTAATATTTTGATTATACTATTATTCTTATATTGTCAGTTTTATTTTAGTATCAACTTTGTCTCAGATGTTTCTCCTAAACGTTCTGAAAAAATATTTTTTCAGTACATATTAAGTTTAGTATTATTTATATACTATTATATTATTTATTTATTTTTATGTTTTCAGTTTTAATTTTAGTGTTGTCTTTTATTCTTTTGTCATTCTCATTAATTTTAGTTTTAGTTTTTATTTATAAAAGAGTTTCTATTTAGCTTTATTATTTTTTTATTGCAGTTTTATTAATTAGTAGTACTTAGTATTTAGCAGCATTTTTATGTTTTTAAATGCATTTTATTATTTAATAATAAAAATACTTTTTTGTTTGAAGTTTTACATGTAATTTCTTTTTTAAAGTTTTATTAAAATTAACAATTTTGAATATTTCTATAATGGTTTTTATAATAGTATTTTAACAGTTTAAGTTTTAGTTAATTCAAGTTAAGAACACTGGTTCATGCTGAGATCTCAGACGTTATAATCTGAACAAATCTAAACCAGTTTGAGACATTGTTGAGATCTGAAGCTCTACAGGAGACAGACAGATTTGCTGAAAAGACCAGCATGAATGGCCCGAGCTGGTTTATGCCGGTCTAGTGCTGGTTTAGCTGGCGGACTAGCTTTAGTCGTTAGTTTTTTCAGCAGAGATGTGAGATTACTGAGGAGGTCTGATCTTCAGGAGAAACATCTGAGAAGCAGGACACTTAAACAAGTCGTCATTCAATCTTAATGCTGTCTAGGAGAAGCAATTGAAAAATTACAGATTTAATTAGTATTTCATGCTGAAGTGGAACCAGAAAACATTTCTTTATCAGGTCATCATGTTATGGTGTTAAATCCAAATGCTTTGCCCCAAAATCAGCACAGAAAAGATGAAAACCGTCTGCAGATTAGTGATGGTGATCAGCTCTGCTCTTGCCCGTGTTTTCTGCAGATTATGGCATGTGAATGTCTCGGAGAATGAGCTGGAGTGTCTTCCTCTCGGTCTGCTTCATCTCGGCCAGTTGAAGAGGATTTCTGCAGCTAGAAACAAACTCATCAGCTATAAATTCACTGTAAACCACGGCTTCTTGGGGCTTATTGCTTTATTTTAGCTACAGGTTTTTAAATGGAGGGCCATAACGAAGTATATTACTTATAAAACATTGACAAGTTTGCAATTTTTGGAGGACCAAATTACTTACAATAAAAGAATAAATATGCAACTGAAAAGGTACATTTGTGCTGGGGTAACAATCACAGGAAAGTAGCAAGCGTATTGCATGCATGAATGTTTCATGTGTTGATGACCATGTTGAATTTTGGGTTAAATGAATGGCATATTTACTTTTTGCTAGCAAATGATGATAATCAGAGATGTTTCACTCCTCAGAAAATCTGCAAAGCTTCAAACAACCAGATTGAGTTTCTTCCTGACACCATCTCCATCTTCTGGAAGACTCATCTGAGGGAGGTGGACATCTCCGAGAACGTCCTGAAGGAGCTGCCCTCGTACATATTTGAGCTGGAGGTAAGGAACGGGGGGAAATGTGCTCAAATCACAAGGTGTTTTTTTTTTACCAAAGAAAGTAATTACGCATTTGTCTGGATGTGGTACTGTAACGTCCCCCCCCCCCCAAATGGCCAAATATTTTTGTCATTAATCTCAATGTTATTATTCTCATTAATCGCATTAGTTCAAGTTCATTTATTTTTAAAGCACATTTAAAAACAGTCACAAGACTGACCAAAGTGCTGTACATTAAAATCAAGCCATAAACAGAAATAATAAAACGCATGAATTTAAAACCAAAAGGAATGACAGATAAGCATTCTGAGCACAGAGTAATAATCAAGACCATAATACAATGTAATAAGAATGGGATATTAGTAGGCCATCTCAAACCAAGTGTGCATTACTGTAATTAAATAAAAAAAATAGTAAATTTAATAATTAATTTTTTTAAAAATGTTTTAATAATATTCATATTAAATCAGCATAAAATGCTTTGTATTTTAATTGATGTATCTTACTTTTTGCATTGTCATACTGAGAGTTTGCTGGAGAAAATGTGCTGAAATTAAATAAGATATGATGTTTTGACCAAAGAAAAATAAGTATGCATGTGTCTGGACGTTGTACTTTTTAAAGGTTTTTTCTTAATGCCCATCACTCTCAGTCTGAATGTCATTATTCTCATTAATCACATTGCTGTAACAAGGCTATTATTAGTATTATTATTATTAATAAATTATTTTTATAATTAAAAAATAAACAATTATTTTTATTAAAATACTTTATTAAAAAACTAAACATTTTAACTTCTAACAAAGTTTTTTTTTATATATTTAAATCAGCATAAACAATACTTTTATATTTTAATTAATGCATTATTTTTTGCATTACGGTAATGAGAATTTATGGGAGGAAATCTTCTGAAGTTGTCTTGAAAATAATGTCACAGTGTAAGAAAAAAATGCAAATATGCATATCAACAAAATTGTATTTCTTACTTTAGAAATACAGTATTGTGAAATATGCTCATCAGGTGTGCTTTTCGGAGGTTTTGTAAGATCCTCCCACTAAAATTGCTCCTGGTCAGATCCTTTAATTATATTTTTTATGGAGTGTGATGTGTATTTTGTGTTTGAACTAAGAGCCCTCAGGTTTCTTGAGCTCATGGTGGCGCTGTGCTCACAGTAAACGTCTCCTGTAGCACATCTGAGCGATCGTGAGTTTCTCTCTGTATCTCCTCATGATAGACAGCAGTGAATCAGGAAAAGCTTCAGCTTTAATAAGACTAGATTTATACACAAATAAGCCTGAAAGGCTCCGAGTGTGTTGTGAAGTGTTTACAAACGTACGGCAGAGCAGCTCAGACGGGATTTTATAGTTGTTGAGTTTTCATTAACTTCACTGTCAGTTTCGCAAGTTAACTGGCAAGATGTCAACACAAAGCCAACGGCAGAGCGAGAAATAGAGATTGCAAACTAGAGAGCTTAAGAAAGCGTGTAAGGAAGAAGCAAACAGCAGTTTCATCATTTAAGATTCAATGTAATGCTCGAACAGTTTGACATGAAAATCTCTTGCTCTTTTAAACACCGGATATTTCCGCTGTCTGTGAGCAAAGACGATGATCTCACACACAAACAGAGAGATATGGTGTATTTAGACATGTACGTATAATATGTATAATACTTTTGTGTGTAAATCATCACATAGTTTGTGTTACAGACATGAATGATTCATTAATCATACCGCTTGGGGAGAAGCTGTGCTGTTATTCTTTTTATTTTATTTATTTTATTTTTTTTTATATGATTTTATTTGTTGTTTTTAGTTATTTATTTATTTATTATCATGATTATTATTATTAAGTTTTTATTTTATTATTTTCTGTTTTTTATTTCATTTAGTTTATTTTTTATTTAATCATTTTATTATTTATATTTTTTTCTTGTTTTGTTTTTTATTTGATTCTTTTATTTAGTTTTTTATTTTATTTTATTGTATTTTTAATTTTGTTATTATTTCACGTTTTTTGTTTTTATTTTATTTTATCTTATTTTGTTTTATTTATTTTATTTTTGTTAATTTTTTTTATTTAATTGTTATTTTTTATTAAATTTTTATTTTACATTTTTTTTGTAGTCAGTTGAGAGTATAAAGCAGCAGGGGTGTTAATATTTTTAATATAATATTTGTATTCATATTTTTAGCAATCATGTCATGCGTGTTTTCGGTCTGCTGTTTAGAATCAGAATTGAGGCCAGATTTACAAATAAATCAGACTTTTGATCTAATGTGACAAACGGGTTTGCTAAAAAAAAGCTCTGAATTAGTGTGCAGACAGTTCACTCCCGCACTCCTTATGATTTCTTTTCACATACTCTTCAAAAAAAAATAAATAATAATAATAAAAAAAAAAATATATATATATATAAAGCATTAACTTTAAATCCATTGTAGAAACCTAAACCTGCATGTGTCTTTTATCTTTTGTCAGCAGTGAAGCACTAAAACTCTTCACATAAAAGATAAACGCCTCATCTGTGCTAATGACAATAATAATGTACTAATAACAATAAGTCAACACTTGCCAAATAACTTTAAGTAGCAGTGAGTACGTCATGTTTTATGGCTCCAGGTGTGTGTGTCACAGAGATCACTGTGTGTGTTTTAGGCCATCGTCTCTCTGAAGTTGTGTGGGAACCAAATCTCCACTCTGCCCGCTCCAAACAAATGGAAATGCTCTTGTCTGCGAACTCTAGACCTGTCCAGAAACCAACTGGGGAAGTAGGTCCGTATATTCTATTGCCCTTTACCAACCCTACCCCTAAACCTACCCCTTACAGGAAACTTTATGCATTTTTAGATTTTCAAAAAAACTCATTCTGAATTATTTATAAGCCTTTTGAATTACGGGGACACTGAAAATGTCCTCATGAATCACCTTCTCGTTGTAATACCTATGTCATACCCATGTTATTATTCAAATTTGTGTCCTCATAAACCACATAAACATGCACACATAAATGTATACACACACACACACCTACACACACGCATAAATGTATACACACACACACACACACACACACACACACACACATAAATGTACACACACACAGTGAGCCCTACATAGGCAGCATTTACTGCATCTTAAGCACACTCCCAATCTGAAGGCTGTTCATGATTATGCCTTCAACAGTAACCTCTTTTGGACAATACTAACCCTGTGAAACATTAATAAGCATAAAAATAGGTCAAACAGTCATTATTTTTATGTATGTTGAACTATTTCTAGATACTTTTTCTGTACATTGCACATTATGTATAAAGGGATTGCCTTCTCTGCAAAGTATACGTGGTGCTGCTTTACATTAATTTAATTAAATAATGTATAATTGTTTGTCATAACACCATTCCCCTATTTTATTTTATTTTCTGTTGATATTGTATTTGTTCATATTTAGTTTGTTTTATTTTATGCATTTTTAATAATAATAACAATAACTATTATTATTGTTGTTGTTAGTAATATTTAGTTTATTATTGTGTTGTTTTATTATTAATAATTATTTTATTATTTATTATTTTTTTCATTTTTATTTCTAAAATATCTTAATTAATGTATTAATATTATTATTATTATCAATAGCAATAATAATTGTAGTAATAATAATTATTATTTGTTGCCTTATTAGTTATTAGATTTTTTTTTTTAAAATTTTTTATGCTGTTTTTATTTTGTTGTTATTTTGTATTTTAGTTTCAAATATTTTATGCGGCTTTGCTTATTTAATTTAATTTTACATTTAATTTAATTTTAAATTATCATAGAAACCGGTAAAATCGAGGTCTGTGTTGTGCACATAATACATTATAGAATTGCCTTCTCTGCAAAGAATACATGTGATGCTGCCTTATAATTTGGCTAAAACATATCTTAGAAAGCAGCAAAATTATGTTGCCTACATTTTGCAACATTTGGGGGGAGTGCATCTATGAAGCTTTAAAATGCAGTCTTCATTGCTCTTCCAGATCACTAATGCATCATCACGGTCCTTGTGGTTATATATAGAGATTGTGAATATCTGAAATCGAATGTGCTCTGAATGTTATTTTAGGACGGGAGAGCCGACCAAAACCAGGAAGCTGGCCTTCTTCACTACGTGGCACAGACGGGACCCAGAGCCAGGTACAGTAACTCAAACACTGCGGTCACGTTGCCATGGCGCGGCACAGTTTCACGCTGTAATTACCAAACTCACCACAGAGAAAGCAGAGCAATATCACCATGGTAATCGTGTTTTGTTGAGACTGTGACAAGAGTGTGGATTGTTTTAGTAATGGCATCAGAATCTAAACTAAACCCTTTCAGACGGATCCAAACGTCTGACTCATGTTTTTAGGCAATAAGGATCACGGTCAGTTTTGCTAGCATTTCAACAAAAAGAAATTGATATTTTTATTTGGCAAAGATGCATTACATTGATCAAGAAAGACAGTAAAGACATTTATAATGTTGCAAAATTGATTGAAGTTTCAAATAAATGCTATTCTTTTGAAAATCTATTCATCAAAGAATCATGAACAAAAATGTATCACCGTTTCCACAAAATATTAAGCTGTTTCGAACATTGATGATGATCAGAAATGTTAAGCATATTAGACTGATTTCTGAAGGATCACGTGACACTGAAGACTGGAGGAATGCTGATGGAAATTCAGCTTTATCATCACAGGAATAAATTACATTTGACAATGTATTCACATAGAAAACAGTCATTTTAAATTGTAATTATATTTCACAGTATTTCCGTTTTTGCTGTATTTTTGATCAAATAAATGCAGCCTTAATGAGCATGAGACTTTTTCAAAAATATTACTGATAATCTTACTGATACCAAACTTTTGCTGTTGATTATTATTATTAATAATAATAATATTATTATAGTAATTATTGTTATTATTCATTAAAATATTTTTATTTTATTATTTTGTGTTATTAGGCATTTTTAGTTTATTTTTGTTTTTTTATCTTCATTTTGTTTTGTTTTATGTTGTTGTTTTCTTGATTTCTTTTGTGTTTGTCTTTTGGAAAATGCTAATGCTGTGAAACTCAAATAAGCATAGAAATAGATCAAATAGAGCTAAAATAGTTCGTTTTAGGTTCAGATGCTTTTTCTGTATTGTGCATTATGGAATTGCCTTCTCTGCAAAGATTATATTATATCCTTTTTTGGTCACTTTGTGGAAGCAAACAAACAAACTAAAAAAAATATTTATTTTTGCGAGATAATGCGGAACCGTGCAAATATGGGCACATTTATAAAACAGATAGTTCCGGTGCTTGATTCTGATTGGCTGAGCCACGTTCGAAACTGTTGTAAATTACACTATAAACATACACCTTTGTTTACTTCTGTGTGTTGCTCGGCAACTACTTTGTTGGAACCACAACAGATTCTGAGGAACTACATTGTTTGGTGGAAGAATACGGTTACTACGTATATGGAATAACCATTATTGGTTTTATAAAAGCAATAAGCCTCGTGAAGCCGTGGTTTACAGTGAATTTATAACAGCTAAGGGGGTTTTACTCCGCTTCGTGTCGTGCCTAACAACGCCCCTTAGCTGTTATAAATTCACTGTAAACCACGGCTTCTTGGGGCTTATTGCTTTATTCTGCTGTCTCATAGTAGGCCTTCAGTAGAGTAATGAGCGTTGCTGCCGCGGTCATCAGTGATCATCCATCAGTCTGCAGGGATTTTAATTCTGCATTATGTGGTTTCGGCGAGCTTCTCATCTCCTCTGGCTCTGTTTTGTCAGTTTGTCCCATTCAGTTTCCTGTAATCTTGCGGGATTCTCTGGAAGTTCTCTTCCTGAATGACAACCAGCTGGAGTGTGTGCCGCCGTCAGTGTGTGCCCTCAAGAACCTCTCCGAACTCTATCTGTCCAAGTGAGTCGCAGGGAATCATGGGAAATGTAGTTTGTGCAGCAGCGTGCATCATCATTTCTTCCCCTTTATTGCACGCCTCTCTGGAATACTTGAGTGTGATTGGTCAGTTGCAGCAGTCAGGGGTCAGATGTTATTTTTGATATAGCTATTAGATTTGATGCTGTTAATATTAGATATTAGACTTCAACTTATTTTAGGTAGTTGCCATGGAACCATTTCTAAATTTTAAACGTTTTTTTTTTTTTAAAGTTAAAGTATTGAAATTAATACACCTAAAACTGAAATAAAATAAATTAAAGCTAATATATAAAATATAAAAACAAACACATAAATAACCAAAAATGTCAAAGCCATAACTAAATTACTAAATTAAACGTATTTTATTTTAACTATAAATATAACGTTTTAAAAATAGTACAATAATTTAAGATGATTTAAATATTTTGATTAAATGAAAAAAAAAAAAATGTCAAAAGTACATATCAGAATGACTAAAACTTCAAATTACAACTGGAATAAATAAATAAAATCACTGTCTTCTCACATAATAATATAATTTCACCTCAAATGAATATTTACATGTTCATGTATTCATTTATGATGTTTTTTGTCATTTTAATATTTAATGTATAAAAGCCAAGAAAACAATCCTGTAATGCGTTGTACTAAGCGCAGTAAAAATGAGATGGAGACAAAAATAAAAAAATCATAGAATTTTAATATGTGATTATTATTTTATTGAAGCTATGACTATAAAGCATTAAACATAGTACAACAATTTAATTTACGAAAATGTTAATATTTAATTAAAAGTGAATATTTTATTATAAAACGGATAGTTTCGGTGCTTGATTCTGATTGGTTGAGCCAAGTTCGAAGCTGTTGTAAATTACTCCACAAACATACACCTTTGTTTACTTCTGTGTGTTGCTCGGCAACCACTTTGTTGCACCCACAACCGTTTCTGAGGAACTACATTGTTTGGTGGAAGAATACTGTTTTTATTAATATCATTACACTTTATTTGCTCCGTTTTATTTTGTGAAACCTAACCACGTATATGGAATAACCGTTTTATAAAAGCAATAAACCCCGTGAAGCCATGGGTTACAGTGAATTTATAACATGCCTAACAACGCCCCTTAGCTGTTATAAATTCACTGTAAACCACGGATTCTTGGGGCTTATTGCTTCATTTTACATTTCTCTGTTTTGTTTACTAGATATAATCTAAGCAACATGTTAATGCCAAACTGCTGAAATCAATTGCAAGCCAAGTCTCCTGTGTGTTTTGTGACGAACCCTATTTGTGTAATGCACAGAGTTGCTGACTAGGGTGAGCTTTACAGTTCAGTCACTTAAGAGGTTAAAATTCAGTTAAACAGCAAGGCGTTGCACTAGGTTTTGGAGCAGAGCCCAACAATCACAGTGCGTGATTCAGGCTTTTCACCGTCAAGAGTTGCAAAAGTCAAACTAATATGCAATATCAAAAGGGCTTGTTCATCTCTCCTGCTTCCTGCTTGAGAAACTCTCAGGATGTGATGATGTTGTGTTTGGACTTCCGTAGCTTTGATGTTAATCCTCCCTGTTTCTGCAGTAATCCAGGTATCCAGGAGCTTCCTGTTGAGCTCGGGCAGCTCTCCAACCTCTGGCAGCTGGACATCGAAGACTTGAACATCACCAACATCCTCGCAGACGTCAGGAAGGATGGTACTCCAGTCACACAAACACAGCTCGGATCTGCTTGAATCACAACTTTTAATTGTCAAGATTGCATTTCAACAAAACATGCAGCAATGCAATCTCACATGAATATCATGAATTTAGCTTCTTGAGCTTTGATCAGGATAAAAAAATACAAAAACTTTTGCGGTAGTTCAGCAAATGCACATTTTTTTTTATCAAATAGCGGGTTTTTACAAAAATGCTAAATGGGGTTATCATCATTAACTGGATTAAAAGTATTACTTTTTTAATCATTGAAGTAAACCTGAAATAAAACTAATTTCGATTAGTGGCCAAGGCAGCATTTTTTTAAATGTCCTTTTAGTTTATGTACTAAAAACACAAAAATATACTGGAAATAAACAAAAACTGAAACAGAACAAACTAAAACTGAAAAAAAAACAAGTAATAATATAAAAAAGACCAAATGAAATTTTGAAAAAAAAAAAGTTAAATTAAAATGAAAACTGAAAATATAAAAATAAAAGCTTATTAAAAATATGAATAAAATCTATAATAATATTATCTACTACATACATATTAGTGGTCGACCGATATATCGCCAGGGCCGATATATAAACCGATGTTTGGCATTTTTCAAATATCGGCATCGGCCGATAAGTTTTTCTGTTTGGCCGATGTGTTCGAGGTGGGACTTTTATTTTGACGGCGCTGAGAATGACAGCACCTGAGAGCGCACACCGCTCACATTCGCCGTCGTCATTAACAGTTCTGCCTAATACGGATAGAAGTCTGTCTAATAATCAGACAGAACTGTTAAACAAAGGAATTAAAAGTTTTATGACGATTGCTTTAATATTATTAGTAATAGAAAGGCAAACATTATAAAGGCAAACATTATAATACTTTCTCATTTGCCAACAGCATTCAGCAAATACGCATTTACATCATTTAAATCTTTGAATGACTAATGAACATTTAATTTCACAAACTTTGCAGACTTAGTCGAATCTAGTTGAGATCTTGTGAAGTGTGCATGTGACCTGCATTATCGAGTGTTCTCTGTGAGACGATCGGTCCGTGTGAATTGAATGCGGACAGGAGGAGAGTTCTGCTTGAATGGAGATGCGCGATCAACAAACTTTAAACTAGTGATTTCAAATTATGCTGCGCTTCATGCAGTTGCCCACTGCCATATTCATGTCATTTTCATTGCGTGCTGTATGTAAAATTAGTGTTACCTTGGCTTTATTTGAAAAAATATGATTAAATGCACACAAACTTCCCAGAATACTGAGTGCCCTTTTGGTTACAGTGTTTACTTCCTTTTTAATTAGATTTTTATTAAATATTTATTTATTTGTGAAAAAATGCTTTGTCTTCTAAAGTATAAGTATGTTTATTTTACACAATTATTTTAATCCATTTCAAATGACTTCAAATTTCTTAAATATAAATAAAAATAAAAATAAAAATATTATATCGGCTTTATATTGGCCATCCCGTCGAACTGTTGTATAAACGCAATATCACTCGAGTACGAGAGCAATATTGCTCATACATACATACATACTGTACATACATACATATATATATATATATATAAATGAAAACATAAGGAAATAATGATTTATAATACTAAAAAAGACAAAAATGCATAAAAATTGTGTAAACAACATTTGAATGAAAATTCAAAATAAAAACCTAAGTAGTAATATTACAAAAATAAAATAAAATGACACAAACATAACAACAGTAAATGAAAAATGAAAACTGAAAATATAAAAATGAAAGCCAATTCAAAATACTAATAAAATCTATAATAATATCTACAATATATTGATGCTATGAAAACATGATGTATAATATTAAAAAAGACAAAAACACATAACAAAATTTGTTGAAAATTTTTTTGTAAACAATTTAAATTAAAACTTGAAATAGAAGCTAAATCAAAATATTAAAGAAGTCTTGAATGAATGAATAATGCTTGATATCCATCTTGTGCATTTTAAGTTGTATTTTGCTGTAGTAGATCAATGTTATGAGATCATTATGCATGATTAAATGTGCATGCCGAATGCAATGTGCTTCTGATAAAAAGCGTGGACCAAATGCATACATGTGTCTCTGAAGCTAATTATGGTAAGAAGGATGTTCTGTATTAAACAAACAGAAATGTTGTCATGTTGAGCATGACATTATTTTATTTATTTATTTTTGCGTTAGAGAACATGATATTCCGGCTGTTTAATCTAGTATTTGTCTGATGAATATTTCCTTGGTGTTTCCAGCTGTGAGTCGTTCAGCCAGCTGTCAATTCGTCTGATGCGTTTGTTGCACTATTTAGTGCGTTTTACTGTCATAACAACAGGCTCAAGAGATTTGAGAGGAAGTAGCGTGTCCCTAACAAACACATGAGCACTGTGGGTTCATCTGAAGATGCCTGGAGCTCATGTTACTCGTGTGGAAGTGCTTTACATATGATGTTGGAGGCTCAAAACTGATTTCAATAGATTAGCATGCTGCAAAGTTCATGATGCAACACCATAGAAATGATTAAATATTGCATAGAATAGTCAATTTTTAATTAAATTTTATCTACTTTATAAGGCTTAAGACTCTTTATGTTGAATCTTTACGCATGATTTGTGAATATATTTTAAAATAACAAGTAACAAAGTGAAAGTGAAGAAAAAAAGTAACCGTAACAAATCTTCTATTGCCGTTATCACTTGGAAGAAAGCATCTACTAACAGACGCTTTGATATTTTAAAGTATAAAATACAAATAACAAAGTGCTGAGTAACTTAAAGTGACAATCAACAAATAAAAAAAAATAAAGAAATAATAAAAAATTATTTTTAAGTCAAATAAAGGAAAACTTGCTTTACTGAGATCATACTTTACAGTTAATGCAAGTTAATGCATTAACTAACATTAGAATCCTTAAACTTTGTTTTAATGCTAAATATAAAGTGTAATATAAAGATAAAATACGTGGAGAAAACGAGTAATATTAACAACTCTTCTATTGCTGTTATCACACTTTAATATGTTAAACAGTAATATATTTAAATGGGCTCAGCAAATTAAAGTGAACAGTAACCAAATTTTTAAATAATTAATCAAAATGGAGCTTAAATCCAAATAAAGGAGAGTATTTTTATTATTATTATTAACATAAAAATAATACAACTATTCTTTTTAGTTCTCATGTTAGCTCAGGTCCATTAAATAATATTAACAAATGCAACTTTTGATTTTTAACACTGTAATGCATGTCAAAATTTACGTTAACATGACTATATGCTTTAAGAGCATTTTTTTATTGTTAGATTGTGTTAACTAGTGTAGTAACTAATGTTAACAAATGGAATATTATTGTAATGTGTAACCAAAAAAAGAAGGAAATAAATTAAGTCTTAAGAATTAAACGGTTTAAATAAAGAGGGGAAAAACAGAGAATATGCCACTATAAGTAATGAAGAACATGTAGTGTAGTGATGGAGACATTAGTTGTGTCTGAATTCACATACTGTCTAGTAGGTACTATATTTGGTTTGAAACTTGCTTCACAACCATTAAAAAGTACTGTCTTATATGACCCTGGAGCACAAAACCAGTCTTAAGTCGCTGGGGTATGTTGTAGCAATAGCCAACAATACATTGAATGGGTCAAAATTATTGATTTTTCTTTTATGCCAGAAATCATTAGCATATTAAGTAAAGATCATGTTCCCCTGAAGATATTTTGTAAATTTCCTAGTTCCTACCATAAATATATCAAAACTTCAGTTTTGATTAGTAATATGTATTGCTAAGATCTTCATTTGGACAACTTTGTGGTTTTGTGGTCCAGGGTCACACATAGTATGAATGTGGGTAGTATGAATGAAAGCTCAGATTCTCGCTGGAAGTAGTAGGTCATCCGGGGGCTACTGTTTTTCAAATGCTGTGAATTTGTACATTTGTAAGCAGGCGTATCGGGACGCAGTGGCTTTACGGTAGTATACCGTTTTTGGAAGTAAAAAAGAACATATAATTTACAGTGAATAACCGTAAATGGACATTCCCAGAATTCCCTGCGTTACATTTCACATTTGCAAACAATAAACTGCAGAATTGTACGTGTGCAGGTCCGGCTGCGGTTCTGGCGTATCTGCGAGCGGAGCTGCGAGGAGCAGAGCCTTGCAGACTGCTGAAGCTGATGGTGGTGGGTCCTCCGCGGCAGGGGAAGAGCGCTCTGCTGGAGGGGCTGCAAACCGGAAAACCCTCATCCTTCATCAGCACCGACCGCAGCATCCACACGTCCAGCTGGGATCTGGAGCGACCCGGAGGAGTGAAATCTGCTGTAAGAGCCCTAAGTCCACACACACACACATGCACGCACGCACGCACACACACACACACACACACACAAACTCACACACACGTTTGTTTCTGTGAATTGTGGGGACTTTCCATAGACTTCTATTACTTTTATTTTGACCAAACAATATTTTCTATCCCCCAACCCTAAACCTACCCCTTACAGAAAACCTGTTTCCATTGTTACACTTTCAGATAAACATCATTTACTATTTGTAATAATTGTTTTCCCTCTTTGGGACCGCAGGCCGGTCCCCACAATGTCAAAAATCTCAGGTTTTACTATCCTTGTGGAGACATTTGAGCCCCACAATGTAGCATAAACAAGTACAAACACACACACAAACACACTCTCACACCCACTCACACACTCATATCAGGGTTTCTGTGGGTCCTTCCACAAATTATAGTCTGACAAGTCTTGCTTATCTAAGGATATGTGAACATTCTTAAATCAAGATACATTTACTTGGGATGCAAAATGAAGATGCGAAGTCTTGTTTTCTGAAAAATTGATCATAATTATGTGAATTCATGCTTATAACATCTGTCTTCATTTTGAATACATTTCTCAGACAACAAGGCTTTTTAAGCAAATGTATCTTGATTTCTGTATGTTTAGATATTTGTTCTCGAAAGTGATCAGAAGGTACAATAAAAGTTATTAGAAGCTGCATTTAATTGCAATGCAACCAAGCATTTAATTAGTGTGAAGTATAAAAAATACATGAATATACTGTACCAGATATATCCAAATTTAGCTGTTTAGATATGAATATTCAGATTTAAATATTTAAAAAAAAAATATATATATATATATACAAAATGCATATAAAAGTTTAATGTAAAATCAGAAATGCATGTATGTAAATGTAAATCATGAATATGTTGTTTGTAGATATATTTTTTTAAATATAAATAACATTTAAAAATGAAAAAAGGAAATGTAGATACATTTAGCAATAAATCTATATCTGTACATAAATATTCAGGACTGAATTATTACCCACTTACTTATCAATTCAATGATTAGTATGTTCATAACTTTGTTGCCATAATAGTCTGTATATTTCTGCTTATTGGTGAGGAAAGAAACTGAAACACTGTGGACAAATGAAGTCATCTCATGTTGATTCAAGGGTGTGACTTCATCGTTTGAGCTTTTACTGAATTCCCAGTCTATTTGATTGTTGTCAGGGCGTTCCTTCACATGTGTTTGTCCCACAATGCTTTGCTCACAGGAAACAAACAGCTCTGATTGCTTTAACCCTGTAAACATGACGAGACAAAAATAAGGCAGAAAAAACCTTCATAGCAAGTCTGGAAAAAAAGCGAAACCATTAAAGTGCCAACATTTTGACCTCAGGGTTTATGAATGAGTAGCAGCTCTGGTATTTCCAGCTGACCTTTGACCTCTAACTCTGTTTGTGGCCTTACATGGTTTCTTAGCATGAGTTAACAGTGTTTCCATTCTTATCATGAGTCCTGAGTCATATAAAACCCAAGAGAGTGTCACACACATTCACTGATGTCATACAGATATGTTCTCATAAACACACACACACAGACTGACCTCTTACACATGTCATGGACAGAAGCAAATGTATACACAAACTGGTGTTATAAAGCCCCAGAGATTTGACTCCACCTCAAGCAGCTGTGAACACTTGCTCCTCCGCTGACTCACCGCGAGAGCCTTTTTTTGTGCTTTATCAAATCTGCATTTCTTTAAAATCAAAGTTAGAATTAGTAGAAAGAAAAGTAAATAGGGTCAGTTTTTTTATTTCATATTGACTTCAAGCTGCTTCTTATGGAAACTCGTTTTTGTCACAGAATAAAAAAAGGTAATTGCACATTTTCATCTCACAATTATGACTTTTTTTCCTCACAATTCTAAAAATAAAAAAGTCATAATTGTGAGATAAAAATGAACTCCTACTTCTGACTGACTTTGACAATTTCGAGTTTATATTTCGCAATCTCTGAGTTTGCATCTCGCAGTTGTTATTTTGCTTCCGCCACAAAAGAAATTAAATAGTGAATTTTTATATCTGACAATTCTGCTGGTAATATCACTCAATTCTGCATTTTTACCTCACAATTCTGACTTCATATCAAGAAAAAACTCCAAATTGTGAGGTATAAATGCAGAATTGTGAGAAAAACGGACTTTCTTGCAATTCCGAGTTTACATCTCATAATTAAGTTTGTATCTTGCAATTCTGACTTTTTTCACCAAAGTTTTTTTTCCGCCACAAAATGAAAAATGAAAAAGGTAGATTGTAACTTTTTATCTCGCAATTCTTCATTTAAATCTTGCAATTCCAAGTTTGTATCTCGCAATTCTGTTTATATCTCACTGTTCTGCAATTTATATCTCGCAATTCAGAGGGGAAAAAAAGTCATAATTACCTTTTTTTTATTATTTTAAGCTTCCATAGCTTTCCACAAGCTTCCATAGCTTCATAACAGGACAAAATAAAACAGTTTCACCTCCGCAACTATATAATTTGTCTGAAAATGCCTTGATGAAAGTTATGAAATGTTGTTAATGCCTTTGTTTCTCCTGTTTATGCAGCTTGATTCAGTGTCCTTTAACGTGTGGGACATTGGCGGCCCAGCCAGCATGTCGACGGTGAACCAGTGTTTCTTCACAGATAAGGCTCTGTATATGGTGATCTGGAATCTGGCTTTGGGAGAGGAAGCAGTGGCCAACCTGCAGTCCTGGCTGCTCAATATCGAGGTCTGGAAACAATATGTAACATAGACGTTATGAAAATCTTAGAGCTTCTGAGCAACTCCTCTAGTCATGGGGTCTCCATACTGGTTATGGGTTCTGATTTTACATATTTGGTATAGATTTCAATTAAAAAAAAATAAAAAATAGGCTTAATTGGCTTAAAGGGAATGGGTCATTCTAGGAAACATATACGTGTTTTCCAAATTTGATGTAGATCAATATGGTTAATTATGCTAAATAGCATTTATATATTATTGATCTATTATTTATGGAATAGTTCAATAATAGTTGAATAATTTGGCATTGCAAAGCAGTAACGCGTCCTGGGGTGTTACAAAGTATTTGTGAAATCTAGCTAACAAAATATATATTGTGTGTTGGAGTGGTCCAGACGCTACAGTTTATTTATTGATTGATTTGATATACTGATTTAGTATTTACTGTATCTGTTATTTATGGAATAGTTTAATATTAATGAACAGCATTGTCATTGCAAAGTAAATCAATAAACTTTCTTTCTAAAATAGTTGAATGATAATGAGCATTTGCCATTGAGTTTATTGAATAATTATAGTAAATGATATTTTGCCATTTATTTATTTGTTTATTTATTGAATAGTTTAATAATAATGAAGACAAGCTTGCCATTGCAAACTAAGTCATAATAGTTTATTTATGTATTATTTATGAAAGCATTTGCCGTTGCACACTAAACAAATGCCATTGCATATAGTTTGCAATAACAAAATCTCTATTTATTTATTTAAATTTAAAGAGTAGTTCATTACCATTTACAAGCTTTTTTTAATGCTTTGTCAACTAAAATCTAAATATAGCATGTATAAAGATAAAAAGACAAAGACAAAATGCTGTTCATATATTTTCAAACATATTTACTATAATATATATTACATATAACTAAAGGGGAAAAAAATCTATAGAGACACAATATATACAAACACAAAATGCTATTTTTATAAACAAAACAAAAAAACTGAAAAAGTCCTGTTTTGATGGACACACATGGCTCTTGTTTTATAGAACGACCTGTGTAATGATTGTGTGAACATGTTTGTGCTCCAGGCTCGCGCTCCTAACTCTGCTGTCATCGTCATCGGGACACATCTGGACCTCATAGACACTAAGTTTCGCATGGAGCGTGTCGCCACACTGAGGGCCTACATCCTGGCACTTTGCAGAACGCCCTCGGGCGCGCGGGCCAGTGGATACCCCGACATCACCTTGAAACACCTACAGTTAGTGTCATTATCATAACTTCAGCTACACTGTAAAAAAAAAAAAAATTAAGTAAAATTTACAGTAAAAAAAAAAACGGCAGCTGTGGTTGGCAGAATTTTACCGTAAAAAATACGGTAGCACCATTTTAGGTTTTACGGTTTTAACTTAAATTTACATTTAAATACTGTAATTTCATTAACTGAATAATGTTAATATAACAACCTATTGAACTATTTAAATCTGTTTTGTACCTTTGTAATACACTGATAACCACCAAATGCAGGTGGTGATGAGAAGGTCACATGATGAACCAAAGCCCATCACAAGCAGCATTGACATGTTAACATATATAGAAGGTGCACAGTGTCATTCACACAAACACCAAACACTATCATGGTAACACACATGAAACTGAAATAATGCAATAGATTCAATATCACCGTAGTGCTCCTTTCAACCCTCACAATACTCACACATTTTGGTCTTAATTTCCCATTCGAATAATATTTCCCAATATTAAGATGCAAATTATATTTTCTGAAAGGTATGATGTCCCTTTGCTAAACAGGGTTATTTGTTTGATTTAAAATGATAAATACATAAGATTTTATGTAAACCATGTGTTTTTAAAGAAACTTAACCATTTAACTATGGAATGCCAAACCTGACAAAATTAGAAATAAATAAATATACAAAGAAATATATAAATAAATATACAAAGAAAAGTTTAAAAAAAAACTAAATAATTATTCATACTTTTATCTCCTTATTTATGTATATTTTAATTTTTTCCACGTTTTATTTACTTTTTTCTTTTCTTTATTTAGACATTTATGTATTTATTTACATATTTATTTCTGTTTATTTATTTCCACATTTATTTATTTTCACATTTATTTATTTCTACATTTCTTTGTCCGGTGGTATTCTTGCCATTATTCTTGTCGTGGCCTGCCTTAGAAAATCACCATCATCTTTCGTGAATATGTTTGAGAAAATAGCTCTTATTTAACTCGATACTTTCTTGTTTTCTCTTCATCCTGGTTTATCAGTTCAGTCAGCACAAGCAGGCCTCAGTGGTCCTGACATAATTTCAAAATTGATTTCCATAAAAAAAAATACTTTTTCTTCTCATTGGGGAATATTCTCGTTCAGATAGAGGCAAAACTTTGCAAGCTTCTTCCGAAGGCCCTTTATGAGAGAGAACACACCAGGCTCTGATCCGTCTGCACCTTGAATGCACGAGTAACACGTTTAATTGATATGTGGTAATGGTGTCAAAGCACCAGAGGGCACATACACACACACAAACTCACACACTTACAGTGTTAGCATAGGGAGCAAATGCCATTTACACTAAGGGAAGGCTGAATTCTCTGAGAGTCACGACATCTTGACATAGCCCCAGCGGTGACACACTGCTGATCAGAAGGTTTTGTATCCCAGGGGTATGCTGTTCATTTACACTCTGCTACTTGGGTGTGGATTTCAGAGTGGAACTTCAAGCTGCTACCAAACTTAACTTTTGTTCATTAGTTCAAGTCAGCTCTTTTCATTTTTAATGTCTTCTGTACTTTTCCACAGACTGCTATTTGGGAACGTGAAATTTAAGCTTTAATGAGTACAGTTAATTAATGACACAATAAAATGAGGTGGTATTTCTTTTCCTGTGTTTTTTTTCCCTTCTTCTTCTTCTGGTACTTCTACTGAAATCAAAATATTGGAAATGTTACCTTTCTTTTTCTAAATAAAGGAATTACATGTAATTTAAAAACAAATGTATCAAAAAAGTCATATATTTAAAATACATTTATTTCATACTAAATATAGTTCACATCTATTAACATGTTTACTGACATCGTTCGAAACTTTCTGATATAAAAATTATAATTAAACTTTATTCAGAGTACTACTTGTGCACAATGCCCATTTCTTAATATTAAGCCTAAAATGTGTTTTAATGTCACTGTTGATGAGGATTGTATGATCTTTCAATAATATCAGTCTCTAAATGCAAGATATTTAAAGTGTACCTGAAATATACTTGCAATAGTTACACTTCAGCACAATCAAATATACTTCAGTATATCTTTAGTTGGACTTCAGCACTACTTCCGCACAATTAAAGAGCATTAAGTACAAAATTAGTTGTTTCAATTTAGCAGACTTTAAGTATACCAATTTAGTATACTAAAAGTACAATTGCAGGGTATTTTTATTAAGTACATAATATGTAAATGTATTAATGTAGTACACTTATAATGAAATAAATGTATTTCAAATACATTTTTGTGTATATATATATATATATATATATATAATTTATTTTATTTTTTTTCTAATTTTGTCAGGTTTGGCATTCCATATTAACAGGATTTTACTGTAGCATCTTTTACCGTTAAAACCACAGTATTTTTTTAGAGTGTACTTTCCTCAATGGACGATCTGTTTTGGTGTGTGTTTGTGTGAATGTGTGGTTGTTTGGCAGTGAAGTGTCGTGTAAGACGCTGGAAGGCATGGACGTACTCAAGAGGCTGTTGTTTCAGGTCGCTTGCTCCATGAAGGATGTCAGCAACCCTGCTAGCTGTCACAAACTAGTGGGAAGACTGGTTAGTGTTAGTTAAGACTGTGTGTTTGGCATGAATCACAGTTATTTCTGACACCTGTTCGGTAAGATGGAAAAACTGAAGTGAAATACTGTTGCTCCACCTCAAATCTTCAGTATGCGTTTTTATTTATACATTGAGCAGGTATTTTTTTTTATCCAAAGCAACTTAAAATGAGGAAAAAGCATGAGCGTGAGGAGGCTATGCTGCAGTAGTATCTTAGGTTCTTTAAGGTGAATTATCCCATGTGTTTGTCTCTTTTTGGTGTTTTATATAGATTCCCAAAAGTTACCTGACCCTGCAGGAGGCCATAAAAGCAGAATGTCTGAGGAGAGACGAAGCCGATGAGGTTCAGTACCTGACGGACTCAGAACTGGAGCAGATCATCGAGCAGAGTCCCGCCAGCGATATCAAAGACTATGAGGATCTGCAGACCGGTAATGCAAAAATAAATATTTATAAAATTAGTAGAAATTGTGTACATAAAATTATTTTTAATATATATTTTTAATTTAATAATCTAAATAAAATATTAAAAATCTATATTAAATATTTTTAAATGCATATTAATATTTTTGTTCTTGTTAATTTTAACGTTTTAAAATATTTTACACGTTTTATTTATTTATTTACTTTATGTATGTATGTATGCATGTATGTAATAGGATCTGCAGACAAGTAGTGCATAACTTGCTGTGAAAATAATACCAAACATAACATTTTTGTTCTTAACTTATAATTTATTTTAAACTATATTAAGGATTATTTATTTGTTTGTTTGTTTAATAGGGTTTGCAGACAGGGTGTGCATAACCTATTATGAAAATAATACCAACCATAATGTTTTAATATATATTCATAATATGTTTTACTAATACACATTTTTAAGATACATTTTTATTTTTGTTCTTAACTTTAATATTTATTTTAAACTATACTGAGTTATTTATTTATTTGTTTTTTGTTTGTTTAATAGGGTTATATACAGTGGGTACGGAAAGTATTCAGACCCCCTTAAATTTGTGTGTGTTATATGTATGTATGCATGTATGTATATATATAATATATATGTATGAAGTATTGAATTTTATTTTATTTTTAAATTATTATTAAATTAATTAATTTAATTATTTACTTAATTACTTGAAAAAAATGTAATGATTTTTGTATTGTATTGACCCCATTAGGCTAAAAGAGAAAAGCTAATATTTTGTCTTATTCAAATTGAAAGATTTTTAAATTTATGTTTTTATAAACACAACACCTTTACTTTACATTATAATGTTTTAATATCTAATGTAATTTATAAATTTCAAAGCAAGTAGAAATCTAGAGGTGCATCCCAAATTGAATACACTATTCTATGACGTTTTGTAGTATAAATAGTGCGAGTAGTGCGTTCACACTGAAAATTCCAAAAAGAAAAAGTGCACTTTAAATACCCGGATGATGCCATTAAATAACCGAAAAAATGAAGTGTGGAATGTTGGACACTTAATGCACTCAACTGTCGCAGCTTTAATTACGTTCATAAGGGGAGGGGCTATCAGACTCTGATTATTAATGACAAAATAACCTTATAAAATTCATACACTACATGGTTGAGTACATAGTGCATAAGTACATAGTGTATGAGTGCACAGTGTATAGTGCATCATTTGGGACGCAGCTTCAGTCTTTAAATACAGTTGTTGTTGTTTTTTTAAATCACCCATTACTTTAATTATGTAATCATTGATTATTTTCTATATCTGTGCATACCTAGTCTATTTCATTCACAGTTCCTCACATTAAAGTGGCTGTAATCTGATGTATTTCCAAGTGGAACAGGATTCAGTGGGATGAGCTGTTTGTTTGTGAATCACACAGCGATCAGTTTCCTCATCGAGACCGGCACTATACTGCATTTCTCCGACACCAGTCATGGCCTGTGTAAGCTCTACTTCCTGGACGCCGTGTGGCTGTCCGAGTGTTTGGAGCGGATCATCAACCTGAGGGGCTCGCGCTCCGTCGCCCGTAACGGGGTCATCAAGGCCGAGGACCTGCGCATGCTGCTGGTGGGCACCGGCTTCACCCAGCAAACAGAAGAACAGTACTTCCAGTTCCTGGCCAAGTTTGAGATCGCTCTACCAGTCGCCAGCAGCAGGTATAAACTACGGCTTTCTGTTCTTTGTAACGTCAGTATATTACTTAATTAGTGCTGTCAAACGATTAATCGCATCCAAAATATACAGTATTTGCATGTATTTGAAAATATTTAAATGTATTTATATGTATACATTTTATATTCACATAATTTATTTTATGTATATGTGTGTGTATATATATATTTAATATATAAACATAACATATTTTTCTTAAATATATACATGCATGTGTGTCTATTTATATATACATAATAAATACACACAGCACGCACACGTATATTATGTAAACAAAAACTTTTATTTTGGATGAGATTAATCGCGATTAATCTTTTGACAGCACTAATCTTGATCTATATGAAGTATGTCTATCTAGCTGTCTGTCAGTTGGTTGGTCAGCAGTTATTGTGTAACAATTATGCCAAAATTTATATTTCTCCTTCTAAACTAAATAGTGACTTATTGTGAAAATAATGCTGATTGATTTGATTGATTGATTTTCTGCAGATGAGTATTGCATATTTTATTGTGAAAATAATTAAGTATTGAGTTTTTATTTGATTAGATTATGTATTAATGTTAAAATATATAGTAAAAAAATATATATATTTGATTTATATTTATATGGCTCTTAACTTAATATATATTTTAACCTATATGAAATATTGTATAGTTTAAAAAAAAAAAAATATATATATATATATATATATATATATATATATGTGTGTGTGTGTGTGTGTGTATATAATTTTTTATATATATATATTTATATGGTTCCTAACATAATATATATTTTAACCTATATGAAATATTTATTTATGTATCTATGTGCAACATGAATAATGCATATTTGTGAACATAATGGCAAAAATGGTAATACATGGTAATACATGTATAAAATGTTCATCTTAACTTTAGTATGTATTTTAATATGTATCAGTATTGCATTTTATTTAATTTGTGTATTAAATTTATTTAATTATTTTTGTTGTATTTATTAGTAGACTATTTGATCATTAGTTCTTTCTTCTCTTCATAGTTATCTGTTGCCCCACCTTTTGCCCCCCAAACCTGCCCTGGACATCCACGGCTTTCGGCACCAGAGCAACAATGCCATCCAGCGGCATTTCAAGATGAGCTTCGTTCCTGCGGGATTCTGGGAGCGTTTTATAGCCAGGATGCTAATCAGTTTAAACCAGATGGACGTGCAGGTAAACACACACCCTGAGATGACAACCTAACAGAGCAATAAAGTCAGAATTGCAGTCATTGCAAGCGTAGAATTAGAGGCCACATGCTGACAATGCTTCAGGCTGGGAGTCTACAGCAGCCCGTGAAACCGCATGGTAAGACGCTTTGCAAGCTTTTGCAATCTAATTTCCCCCAAATAGCCCTGTGCAAAATTTTGTAATGCATAGGGCTGTTTGGGGAAAATCTTATATATTATAGCCATTTTTCGGATCTTATTTATTCGTTTGTTTGTTTGTTTGTTTTGGTTATTTATTTGTGTGGTTATTTAACAAAATAAATATATATTTTTTTTTATTTAAGAAAAAAAATTATAACAACAAGGTTTTATAGTACGACTATAAAAATTCTATATTATATTATATTCAATTATTATAATTATTATTTTTGTTAATGGTGATAAATATTAAACAAAATGTTATGACATATAATTATGACAATATGACTAATCATTATATTGTGTTGTGTTATACTGTATTTTATTATACAACATATTTTTTATTTTTCAATAAATAATATTAATGATATAATACAAGTATAAAATAATAGTCATAATAGTATGACTGTTTATTATATTATAAATAAAAAATCAACAAGACATATTTTTGTGATATTTAGTGTGACTATTATATTATATTATATTATAAATAAAAATCAACATATTTTGTGATATTTAATATGACTGTATATTATATTATATTATATTAATCCTTCAATGAATTCAACGACAGGATGCCTTTCAGGAAGTGAGATGGTATCTTTGCAGCTTTGGCTGTTGAAATGAAACTGGCTATGAATCATTGTTAGGGCTGCAACTAATGATTATTTTGATAATCGATTAGTTGGTCGATAATTGTTTCGATTTATCGGTAAAAAATTTTTTTTTTATTTTATTGACAAAAAAACACACTATTCCACATTCTGCCCAATGTCCTTCAAACAAACGTGCCAACTGAATGCTATGAAAACATACAGTGCTTAACATTTTATTAGGCCACCTGCCATAATAAAGAGAAAACACATTTTAGGAATCTGTCAAAATTGTTTAAATCAAATAATGTTATTGTCATCTATTGGGCAAATAAACTTAAATAACTAAATAGTATGTATTCATATAAGAAAAATGGCCTCCTATGCCCTTCATAACAGCTTGCATTCTTGCTGGCATTAAGTACTTTTTGACTGTAATTGGGTATCTGAAAAAAAACACTATAAAGCTCTCTGCCTTTCTTTCATAGATAACAGCAATAATTAGGCCTATGTTATAGTATTAGAAACAGCCTGTTACTAAAGAGCTTACACATATTGGAGGACTAACCCATACAGAAAGCTAAAAAATGATTTTGGTAATCACCAGTACTGTTAGTTTAGAGCAGCAGTGGCACAAACCATCATTTGTTAAAAACCTTACATCATTTTTAAAAATAAATTTAAGCTTTGTATATGGTGAATATAGTTTAAAACTCTGCATTAAAATGATAATAAAGATAATAAAGACGAATAAAATCACAAACTCAGTTGTAACCAATAGGTAAGAGTAATGCTCTGCAGGAACACACGTTCACTTTGACCGTCTTACTGTCATTTCTGGTTATGAAGAGTCTGATATTTATATTCAGACAATTACACGCCGTTATCCCCTTACTGTTGCTACTCTCATAAAATACTCGCAATGCATGTTGACCTTTAAACCTCGATTTAATTTTCAATGAATGTTTTTGCGCTGATTATTAATTGTCTCTGTTTTCCGTCTGTCTGATGAGCATGCACGTAAAGATTAAAACTTAACACAGACTGTCAGGACGGACGTTTATGCAAAAATGGAAACGCTCGCGTGAATTTGTGACATTTATACATAAGGATATGACCGTTAACTGAAAGTATTTGCGCTGAGGACGCACACACATCATCTGTCAAAGTGCCTGACAGGGCTAGCCATTACGCTAATGCATTAGCTTAAAGCTTAAAATAAAGAATTCTCATGTTTTGGGCAGCTTGGATCACGTAACATCTCATTCTGTTTCCTCCACTATTTTTAGATGTATTTTGTCCATAGAAATGCGTAATTCAGTGCTGTAATTTGACACGACCGGCTGAAGTTGGACATGCACTGTGGGCAGACCCAACTAATCGATAATGAGAATCGTTGTCAATGATTTTCATTATCGATAATAATCGATTTTATCGATTAGTTGTTGCAGCCCTAATCATTGTACAAGCCCAGTTTTGGTGACAGCGCCACCTATTGGCCAGAGTGCAAAAGACGCAAAAACTACATGTATTTCTGAGGTCCCACTTTGTGCTATTTTGGACCAGTTTTGCATATGGTTTTGTTTGTTTCGCTTTTCCTCTTTCAGTGTTGGTTGAATCTTCACCAAAATTGGTTCAGGTCAGACACAGACAAAGACAAAACCACACAAATACAATTACTGGATTTTATTCTCCAGAAAAGCCTTAACAGTTTTGCTGGCGAAGACACCAAACAGGAAGTGAGTCATTACCTTGGCAAAGCTTTTGCGTATTGACACGCAGTTTTTCTTTGTATCAACGCCACATTGCCCTGAGAACATCGTGCACATTTCTAGTGTCACCTACTGGTCAAAAGTTATAAACCAGACAAATCTGCTCAATCATTCAGTATCCCATTGGAGTTTGGCCATGTAGCTGCTACTTGCAGCTGTATTTTTATTTATTCCTTACATGACAAGTTCTCAGGTGAAAGTGTCGTTGAAGCCGATCGATGTTCACATTTCGGTCTTGTTTCAGTCAACTGATTCTGATGACTGTCTTTGTGATTTTTCGTAATAGGCATTTGAGACCAAAAAGCCCACAAAGAACCAGAGGAGCCGCAGTACGGTGATCTACAGCTTTGCGGGGAACCAGCAGCGCAATCGCTGCAGCACCTTCCGTGTCCGGCGCAGTCAGACCATCTACTGGAAAGAAGGGCTGCTAGTCACCTTTGATGGCGGATATCTGAGGTTAGAAAGGGTTTGTTTTTATTTTTGAGAAATGTTGGTATTTAATGAATGAATATATTTATCAACATTTCTCTTACTTCTTAACCCTCTGGTCCTCTTCGTTTGGGAGTCACACTTGGCTCCTTCGCGCACAAGCCTTGAAATTTAACATTTTTTTTTTTTTCAAGAAAATCAGTTTAATAAATTTTAGTTCAATAATATTTTTTTTATTATTATTTAGAATTTTGAGTGGATTTTAAGATATTATGCAAGATATTCCCCACAAGAATTCATATATTTTTATTTATTTAATTATTATTATTCTATAAATGGATTCCCATTGTTTTTTAGACATACTTTCTTCATTTTATTAGGTTTTGCTTTTAGATATATATTTAGACATTCAAAAAGACTACTCTGTCAAGGTTTAGATATTTTTGGTTCGATAAATATCAGGTTTTGCATTATGATTACAATCAAACATTGTATGTGGGGTCTATTTTTCACTCTTTATATTTTAGAGTGTCAACCCTTTATTGCTGTGCACTTTTTTTCTGCACAGTGGCTGATTTGTAGCTTGTACCACCAAAAGATTCTCCCGAGTTGTATTTTTTAGTATTTCCCATTCATTTCCTATGTCGGTCATTTTTGACCAGGAAGGAGCCAAGTGTGACTTTTTTTTTTTTTTGACCCTTTAACATATCCAAATCATTTCCATGATTTTTGTGTGTTCACATAGCTAATGCAACAAAAGTCACCAAGTGTCATCTCATTCTGATTTTTAAAATTTCAAAATATAAAATTTTTCGGTCAAAAATGGCCGAAGAGGCCCAGAGGGTTTCACCCAGTGTTGTTAGTGTTAGCTAAAACTGTGTTTTTGTTATTTTTATATAAAAAATATTAATGAAAAACTTCTATTTAAATGAAAAATAGAGATGATGCTTTGACAGCTAGCTGAAATAAAATAATAAAAGTAGTAAAGTAAAATTTTGTAAAACAAATAAAAATAAAGTTAAATATAAACAAAATATAAATAAGTAATAAAAATGACAAAAGCACAACATATTTACTAATACTTTGACTTAAATTAAGATGAAAACTAAAAAAAAAAAAAGAAGCTAATTCAAAATATAAAAAAATAGAGTAATAGTATATAAATAATATAACTGTATCCAGCATTTGGACACATGTTTTGCTGCGAGTTTGCAGAGAGTTTGCTGCAAAGCATTATGGGATTGCCTCCTCTGCAAAAGGTACATGTTTTAAAAATTTGTTTATAAGTTGTTTGTTTATAAGAAAACAAGTTATCTTATGCCTTAGGTGTGTAGACAATTTGTCGTCTTACTGTTATTTGTGATAATAGATCAATCTTTGAACCATAAACAGAACCATTAGCAGCACCAAAAGTCACAAATCATTTGGTTCATTTGGCGATCAGTTTTCAACAACAACAACAATAATAAAAAATTATTACTAAATAAACAATTAATAAGCAATAATAATGAACAATAATAATTGATGATGAACAGTAGTAATTTATAAATATAAATTAATTACTATTGTATGCCATTTTCTGAGAAAATACATAAATATTTTTATTGAGTCTTGTCAAAAGACTGAAAAATAAACAAATTAATGAATTAATTTATGGTTAATAATAATAATAATAATAACCCATTTAAAAATAAATAAAAATAACTGAATAGATTAAAAAAGCACTTAACAAAATTACTAAAATTTAAAATGAAAACTGAAAATGTAAAAATAAAATGAATTCAAATATTACTAAAAACTATAATAACAAGAAAAAACTGACACAGTTTCTCGTCCACAGCGTCGAGTCGTCTGACCTGAACTGGAAGAAAAAGAAAAGCGGAGGCATCAAGATTATCTGCCAGTCGGAGACGAGGGATTTCTCAGCGATGGCTTTCATCACGGATCACGTTAACGCTCTCATAGAGCAGTGGTTTCCTGGTGAGGACACCTCTAGATATTATTCTGAATCACTACAGATCTCTGATGTATTAAATCTCGTGCACAGGTCTGTACAGTAGCTTGGATTTGTGGGTGTAATGCAGACGTTCCCAGTGAATGCATGAACTGATCAAACATTTACCTTCAATGCAGTGCAAGTTACTTTGGAGCAAAGCACCTGCAAAATGCATAAATGTATAAAATGGCAGCAGCAGCAATAGGATATAACACAGACAGAGATTACTTTTATTAATAATTCTTCCATGTATAGTATTCTTGCGTGTGAGTATTCTTCCATGCATAGCTGTGGGCTATTTACATTGCAACTTGCAACATTATTACAGAATGTGCATCACATTTTTTTTTTGGCATTTAGACATCTTCAAATGGGGAATTTAGAGCCTTAACTATTTGTTTTATAGTTGTGTGTGTCTATATATGTATATATATATATGTATGTATATGTATATACATATATGTGACCCTGGACCACAAAACCAGTCTTAAGTGTCAATTTTTCAAAATTGAGATTTATACATCATCTGAAAGCTGAATAAACCAGTGGAGAAGGCTCACGAGCACATCTTTGGCATGGTGCTTATGAACGACTGGAGTGGTGAGAGCTAACTTTTGCAATGCATGTTCTTCAAAATCAACTTATAAGATGTTATATAAGCTTATATAAGCTATTTGCTGCAAAACAAGTGTGAAAAATGTGATCCTGGACCACAAAATCAGTCATAAGGGTAAATTTTTCAAAATAGAGATTTATACATAATCTGAAAGCTGAATAAATAAGCTTTCCATTGATGTATGGTTTGTTAGATACAACTATTTGAAAATCTGGAATCTGAGGGTGCAAAAAAAATCAAAATATTGAGAAAATCACCTTTAAAGTTATCCAATTGAAAAACCTTCATTTAAAAACTGCATGTTGTGTTCACTTGTGTTATCTTTGACTAATATTTAAATTTGTTTGATGATCTGAAACATTAAAGTGTGACAAACGTGCAAAAAAATAAGATCAGGAGGGGGGCCAACACTTTTTCACACCACTGTATGTATGTATATATATATATATAAACAAACAAAAAAAGTGTTGCTTGAAATTAAAATGTTAACTAGGCAAGGCAAAATTTCTCATTTAATTTAGTTTAATATTGTTTAATTTATTTACACCAGGTTTGTTACCTGATATACTAAAATAACTAAAACTTAAATAAAAATGAATAAAAAAGACATAAATAAATTTAAAAAACGATTAAAAATGACCAAAATACACAACAAAATTACTAAAACATTAACTAAAAAAAAAAGATGAAAAAAACTACAATAGTATGTCAATGCTACTAAAATAACACTTGTAGTCATAAGCTGGAGGTCCAACAGAAAACAAAATGATTAAAATCGTGTCATAAAGAGGGTGTCAAAGTGATAATATCTTGACAAACCATCACCATAGGGTATTAATGTGGACATGCTGCTGTTTGTTTCTGTGCGGTGTTAATGTTGCACTTTGGGAGTTTGCTGTGTGTCAGTGCAGAGCCGCTTTGCAGTATTAACATGCTGTCAGTCAGCAACACAGGTGCAGCACAAACACACGCTGAACTCTATAGATGGCCTCATGAGTCAGACTGTAGTTTATACAGCAGCACTGATTGATTCATTAGTCCTCATAAAGCCTGTTAATTACAGCAGACGCATCAGCACACACCTGCTCCATTCAGCCGTTACACATGTGACACTCAGCTCAAATGTTTGTGGGTAAACAAACTCACTGCTTTGTGAGATTATTATTAACATGCATGTGATGCTGATTGTATGCATGTTCTAATCATGAGATTTTTCAGCCTTTTGACAACACTGAACTAGGGGTGCGCTGATCCGATATTCAGTATCGGTATCGGCTCCGATACTGGCATTTTCTGGGGTATCGGTCAGACGAGACCGATCCAAATCCGATATTGTTCATACACTATTCTGTGTTATTGTTAAGCCCCATGAAAGCCACAAAAACATCGTAATGCACTATACTCCCAAGTGTTCTGAAGCCGCTGCACAGTTTAATGTGAGGTACAGATGAATATTTAAGCCAAGTTCACATAACTTATCTCTCTGCTGCGGCTGTCTGTCATCCTCCATTCAGCGTTCGAACTGCGCATCGCATTCGGTTACGACAGACAATGAAACTATCTCCAAGATGATTTAATGTTCCTAATATTATACTTGAAATTATTTAAAAATGTGGTTTATTTATTTATTTACTTATTTATTTTTAATTGTTTATTATTATTATAGATGTATTTTTCAGCCTTTTTGACAACACAATATACAGTTCGATATGTATGTATTTGTTAAGGAGTGGCTTAAAAGGGTGATTTATGTATATTTATTTGTTTTTAATTGTTTATTGTTATTCTCTTATTTATATTATTTTTCAGCACTCGATATTCATCTTAGTTATTCATTTGCGCAGAAATGACTTAAATTAGTGATTTGACAACACTGAATATACAGCTCAATATCTATTTGCTCAGAAAGTGCTTTTTTTATTGTTGTTGTATATTTTTCAGCCTTTTGACAACACTGTATTCATGTATTTGTCTGTCTATATGTATTCTATTCTATTCTATTTAGAGGAACCATCATTTCAGCCGAACAGCTATTGCAGAAAAAGTGGATTCAGTTCAGTTTTTAAATCTTTCGCCATTTTCGCCATTTTCATTAAGCCTTGATTAATGTCTTTTTATGTAAAGATGAACATCCGTGTACAGACGTTTATGATTAACATGCACATGCTGCTCTCTCCCGGTCCAGCACTGACGGGCAGTGAGAGCGACGGCTCTCGTCTCATTGAGCAGTATGCGCCCTGTCCGTACTGCAGCTCTGGACCCCGGCTGTCCGACCCGCTGCCTCTGTCCAGCTCCAACCACAGCACTGTCCACTACTTCAACATGGAGGACTGCGTGCTGGCAGCCGTAGACAAGGAGCACATCAGCTGCCCCAACCACCCCAAACAGCCCGTCCCTCTACAGGAGCTGGTGCCCGAGCTCTTCATGACCGACTTCCCTTCACGGTATGATAACAGTTACGCTTTTAACCATCTGATGTATATTCTTATACTAGTTTTTGTATGAAATGGTGTGTATAAAGTGAAAAAAACAGCTAAAAACCACAAAACAAAATCACAGACTTAAAATATATATACATATATTAGATGCAGTAGTAATAATCTTTTTGTTTGCATCTAGTTCCAATTTTTTTTTTTAAACTATCAAATTAATCTTTATTTCATCATACCAATTTCCAGATTAAAGGCACAATATGTAATTTTTCGCCGCTAAAGGGCGCATATTCAAAATAAACAAAGAGACAAAGGTGTAGTTTGATGACGCTGTGACTGAGTGTGGAATCGTGGGAGTTGTCGTCTTCATCCCCACAGCCGAATTCAATCCGACTGGACTTGGGCAGAAATCATGTTCATGGATGAGCTAATGATTTATTAACGTAGTAGAATGAAGCAGGGTGAGGCTGAAAGCCGTTGAAGCGAAACGAGGCCGCTGAACGAGCGCGACACACGGCTCGAAAGCAGCGGAGCTTTTAATATGCCACAGTCGACCGCTTCCGCTCCTTCGGTCGTGCGTATGTGGGGTAAAGCAGCGCTGTTTTATCATACTAGATACATTTGAACATTCTGTTATAATGTTACTCTGTGCAGTCGTCACCGGTCGTAATAAAACGCACAACATATTAAAGCGTCTTTGGTGTTTCGAGAAAATCGAGGGGTTATGACGTCATTGGCAGGCGACACAATGACACTATGGACACGGTCCGTGTCACTAGTTAAAATAGCTTATTTCTCTGGATTTAAACATTCTTCGAAACATTTGGGATGATGTAAGTACACAAGTCAGCAAAATATATAACACTGTTCTAGTGGTTTTTGGATATTTTAATAAAAAAAACAGGACAGCGCTCTCTGAACAGGAGCGCTTCACAAAAATAAACGGAAACTCAGCAAATACTTGCCTCACAGACATGATAAATATATCTAGAAAGTAGTGCTGGGCGGTATGACCAAAAATTTATATCACAGTATTTTTCTAAATTATACCGGTTTCATGGTATATGATGGTATTTATTTTTTTCATGCATGACTGTGTGTTAACCACATTTTCTACTGACTGAGAGAGGAAATACTGCAGTAGATTGACTTAGAATGCCCTATTTTACTGTCATGAGTGAATATTGTAGAAAAATTCCACACTGAATAGTGACTAAACATGACCCATTAATACATGTTAACCAGGAGTCCGTTTCCAAACCAAATTCAAATCCTGCATTTAACGGAGTTAAATAAATGATAATATTCAGTGATGTGATATGTTCTCTGTGTGGACAGTTGCAGCTTGTAGGCTACTTATTACTAAAATATAAAGCAAACTATTAGCATTAATAGTCATTAATTTTAGTTGGAATATGCTATGATAATTTGAACAGATTTTTTATTCTGATTGTAAAATAATGGAACATTAGGTCATGAATATTGTCCCAAAATTCATGGAAAAGTCATTATGGTCCTAATAACCAGCGCTCACATGGGTTTAATGGAGCTGAGTCAGAGTGGGTTAGGCTTGAGTTCTAGCACACATACAAACAAGTGCTCACGTCTCGGCATGATGTGTGTGTTTTCTGTGCGGTTGTGGTTCATCACATAAATTGTATTATTAATTCTGAAGTTAAAATGGAAGCAGAATCTGCAGGTTTGGTCTTTGAGCCACGTCAAACACATCTCGTTGAAGAGGTTCCTCTGCGACACAGGCCTGAAGTACAGTCCCGCTGGGACTTCATACTTTATATCGGTGTTGAAAATCACATCATTATGAATTGTGAAAAACCTCAAAGTTACTAGATTTGTGCATTTGGCAGAAACTCTCATCAGAAAAGTGACTTACAATACGTTCAAGGTTTAGTTTTGTATGTTTCTTGGGAAATTGAGCTGCAAGCTGTTAAATCCAAAGCAACTCTAGCTGAAACATATTCACATGTCACTTTAATGTGAAAATCCATCAGAAATTAAAAAGATGAATTTGTGATGCCATGAATGTATAGACTGACCAATTTACTATATTGTGATTTACAAAGACATTTTTTAATAATTTGGAATAACATGCGATGATAAACTGTTCCAATTAAGATCAGGAACATGTATTAAGAAAGGACTGATTTGAGTTTCATGTAGACTTCTATTAGAAAACATGTAATAATAATGTGAGCCAAGTAAACAGCACTTGTAGACTGGAATTTTTTGATGAATTATTAAAAAAAAAACAGTTTGGCACAAATTCAACATGACCACCTATTTATTTATTTTGGAATCATGCAACCCCATAATTGATTGCAGCATGCACAAAATGTAGCAGACAGAGTCCAGAAAAATTTTATAAATATTTATACATATAAATGTTATATAAGTATATTAGTATTGGCATTAGTATTATAAGTAATTAAATAATATTTATTAAGTGTTTTTTTTTTGCAATTAGAAAGTGTCAATAGAAATAGTGTCATGCACACACACACACACACATTTATTATTTATAATTATAGTTATTTAGTTATTATATTTATAATTCTATTATTATTTAAATTAATTATATTAAAAGTAATACCAATGCTACAATTTGCATTTAGAATATATTTAGTAGTTATTTATATAATGAAAGAACAAATAAACTAATAAAAATGACAAAACTAAAATATAAAAAATATTAGCTCATTCAAAATATCAATAAATACTATAACAGTAAATAAATAATATTAAAAATAACACTGATGTCAGACATATCAGATATTTGTGTATATGAATAATCGTATCTTTTGAAAAATCATTTTTGAAGTATTTAATTTGCTGTATTGTCCAAAAAACAGCCATTCTTTCATGATTGTAACGATTGACTTTTGTTTTTAAAAATGTGAAGCTGTTTTTACTCTGTTAAAAGTATTACATATTTGTTATGAAACATAACATCTTTTGGTTTGCATCCATCAAGTTGCAAATCAGAGAATAAATGAAATTTAATTGATTTTCAAGTGTTTAATTGACTGTATTATCCAAAAATATAGGCATGATTATCATGATGGTTAAATCTAATGCTGAATTTCCAGGGAAAACAACTATATTGTGATGAGATTTTGGTCAATTTTTGGTCAAATGTCCCGGTTTTTACTTACGCTTTAAGAATAAGATGGAAAATTGCTGATTCAGTTGTTGGTCTGAATAAATAAAGTTTATCTGCGAGTAAACAAAAACTGCTGATCACGACAAAACAGGTTAATGCTCATTAGAGCTGCTATTCACAACAGGCCTGTTATAAAGTCTCTTCAAAGAGAAAGTTGAAAGGTCACGGTTTGTGAGTAAAGCAGTTTAGCTTGACCTTATTAGTATTTTCAAACTGTATTAAGAACATATTCCAGTAATTCTGCTGTTTTTCATCCTGACTGAAATCAAACCTTGCAAGTGACTGGTGTTGCTAAACTAACGACTCAATAGTCAGCATAAAAATACATAACACACAAATATTATTTCATCCTTATTATTTAATATTATTGAGTCATTTTTTTATTTAATCTATTATCTATTTATATGCTCAGATTGTTTATGTACTAGTCAGATTTTTTATATATGTGTAATTTTATTTATATATATATATATATATATATATATATATATATATATATATATATATATATATATATATATATATATATATATA